AGCAGGAATAATACTAAAAACAGAGCTACAATTGCAGAACACGCCTCCCGTAAAATTAAGATCATCAGCCAAAATGAAGAAATTTACTAAGATACCGATAAAAGGATGAATACTTCAGGCTAGCGAGTGGAGGTGGGGTCAATTGGGGCAGCTCTTCTTCTCAACCTTCCACGTGTCATGCGAACAGCCTCTTCCATTGACACATCCACGGGTTGAGCATTGGCAGCGGTGGAAGCTGTCGATGCGGCGGAAGCAGCGAACTGGTTTACTTCACCGCTTACTGATGGTTTTGATGTGGCTTCCGAAGCAGTAGGTTGTGGGATATTGATTGATGATGAGTAGGTATGGGAAGGACTCAGGATTACTGAAGGGCCAACTCCAGTTTTTATATGTTCTTGCTTAGCCGTTTTTACGAGACTGGAAGGTGGTGGATTAGGCTGCTGTACCTGAGCTGCTGGTTCCATCGCCGCTGCCGCTTCCATCGTCGCTGCTGCTACAGGAAGAGTGGATGATTCTGGAGCTTGTGTTTGTGTGCCTTGGTTAAGTGGCTGCCTCTGGTGCAAGAATGGAATAAATCAACATTTTTAAATGGAAGCATCATAAAATTGTATACCTTCTAAAAATTAAAAGCAAAAGTAAATGAGAAATAAAAATGTTTAAGTACCCTGATACAAAAGTTGATTGATTCTATTGTATGTAAATAAATGATATATAGGGATTATATTCGAAACCAATTGTGAAGAGGTAGAGCTGCATCATATTTTGCAATTTTTATGCAGGTTAAAATTGCATGGTTCTACTTTCTAACATCTTTTTAAATAGAAAATTTATTCACATGCTCTTTAATATAATCACTTCTAATGCAGCCCATCTAAACCTACTTGAGTTAAAGGGTTTTAGTGTCCCTTCGCTCAAATCAAATATTAATGACATTAACCTAAGTTAACATAGTGTAATCCTCCATTAAACAAAGCTAAAGGGATTATAATGGTTCATTGACAAACCTAATCAAAGTACCAACGAAATTAATTTGAATCTAGTTATGCCAATAGGGTTTAGGGAATAAGGGGCTGTACTTCAAAGCGATTAGAAAGATGCTGAATTCAATCAAGGGGAGATTGATAGCAAGACAGCTTGAATAGATCTTCAACCAGGTAAAGAAAAGCTTTTTTCTTAAAGCATGATCCTCCTACTTCTAATTGATTGGAACAAAGCTAAGCGAGTTTGCAATTGTATTGCTCAGTCAAAGCTTTATTAAGAGAAATAAGAGATCTTGATTTTAATTAGTTTTCCTCTTGGTTATTAATGGTTCCTTCTCTCTGACATGATGCAATAATTTAAGAGAGTCAACCACATCATAGAGAAAGTAGGCAACCAACTAAAAAGAGGAAGAAAATATAGAGTGATGTATAACTATGAATTAAAATGAATTCCCACTAGATTTTGGGTGCCATGAATCTCTTATTGATGGATATAAAATATAAGATATAATATGACTAGTTTAAAAGCAGCAAAGTTGTTATACCTAATTGGATGACTCGTTTAATATTTCAGGCTTCACATCAAAAGAAAGGATAAGAAGATTGTCGAAGCTGGTCACAACATTAGGTGGAATGAGGTTGGCTGGTTACCACTCGGTTTATGATATGAGGTAACATGGCACATGCTCATGCAAGTTATAATGCTCTCTCTCTCTCTCTCTCACTCTCTCTCTCTCTCTCTCTCTCTCTCTCTCTCTCT